TAACCTTCCTGGATGGGTGAATATTGATAAATTTTCTTCAGCATCTTTCATAACACCACCATCATCATTACGGGACACATTATGATGACGTGACATAACATGAGGTTCAAAATAATGAGAAAAGAATTGTGTTGATTCGGCCATCAAGTATGCTTCACAAATAGAACCCTCAACACTAGCTTTGTTGCCTATCATATTTTTAAGAGTTCGAAGGTACCTATATATGTAAGAAATTAAATTATCATATTGAACTAGCATATTGACACTATATAACTGCATAAATATTTTATATTTACCTCTCAAAAGGATACATCCATCTATATTGTACAGGTCCAGCAATTCTTGCTTCATATGGAAGGTGCACGGGTAAATGTTCCATTGAGTTAAAGAATCCAGGAGGGAATATTCGTTCTAACTTACACAAAATTTGTGGGATGTGTACCTCTAATCTCTCTAAGTCCACCTTTCGAAGAACAGTTGAAGTTAGATCTTTAAAAAATAAACTCAACTCTGTAAGTGCTTGCCACACATTACTAGGAAGTAGCTCACGAAAGGAAATTGGCAATAGTCGTTGCATGAACACATGGCAATCATGACTTTTCATCCCAAATAACTTAAATTTGTCTGTGTCTAGGCATCGACTCATAGTTGAAACATACCCATCTGGAAACTTCACACCTTCCAACCAATCAAACAAGACCTTTTTTCATTCTTGTCTATTGTATATGCAGCCTTGGGATAGCTTCCATTGGGATTTCTTGCTAACTCTGGCCGATTGTAGTATTTTGCAACATCCTGACGTGCTTTGGGATTGTCTTTGGTTTGCCATCAACATTAAGAACTGTATTAAATACATTATCAAAGACATTCTTCTCAATATGCATGACATCAAGATTATGCCGTATCATAATATTAGAACTCCAATAAGGCAAATCCCAAAAGATGCTTCATTTTTTCCAACCACAAGACTTATATAATCTCTTATTAACTTCTTCAGCCTCTAACTCAGTTACCTTCCTTATCCCCAACTCACAGATTTGATTAAGAATTTCTTGTCCCGTTCTAACAGGTGGTGGCGATCTTGTAACAGTATGACCTTTAAGAAAGTTTTTACGATCTTTCCTAAATGGATGGTTTTGATCAAGAAACATCCTATGA